AATGATCTTGATCATTTATCATTTGTCATTTAGATCATTTGCGAAATGACAAATGCTAAATGATTTATGATTATGACTAAGGAATAGACAAATTATTTAAATGGTCAAATGACCAGGTCATTTCTGAACACTGATTTAAACTTATTTTAATGTATAGCTTAAAACTTTCAAAACCTTTAAAATGTTTTTTTTAAAAATCTAAAACTTGATAAATTTAATTAAATTTAGAAATATATTTTAGAAGTAAGAATGCTATCCTAAACTACTAAAAATTAGTTTCAGTTAAACAAAATTAATTTCAGTAATTTTGGCTATTAACTAAACTAGTTTTGATTATTCTAAACTATGAAATTTTAATTTCAGATATTAATACTATTTAGAAGATTACATAAAGATATTTATTATAAACAAATAGTTCATATCAAATATCTCAAATCTCAAATTTTCTAAAAATTGTTTAGAAAGACATCTTTAATTAGTAGTTTTTTTGAATAAAATAATTTGATTTAGATATCATGTAACTTGACCTTATATTACATTTTCAACATAATTATGTTGTATTATTTATTATAATAAAATAATTTGTAAAATTATTCATCATATATTACAAATTTTTTATATAATAATAAAATGTTATATGATATATTCATATAGTCATAAATTTTTAATTGTATTACTAAAATAGTTTAGTAAAATTTAAGTTACTATAATCAAGCATATATATATTTTTTATTTATATTTGTGAGTATCTACAATACTTATTCTAATATGAAATATTAACCTTCCTATACTACAATATATTCTAAATTGTTATTCTTTTTTTATTTTTTCTAATATTACTTTTTTAGATATTACTTCTGATTATTACTTCTGAATATTTCTTTTAATTATTACTTCTTACTGATAAGTATTTTTTAAGTATTTATCATCTTTTTAATAATTTTATTATGATAATTCTTAGTTTTATTTTATTATTAATTAACATTTTTCTAATTTATAGTTTATAAATAACTTTATTTATTTTCACAGGTTAATTGTTTGACAATTAATTATTTTAAACAAAAGTATTCATTTTTATTTGTGTTAAATATTTGTTTATTAAAAATAATTTTTTTTTTTTGGAATTCAAAATCAAATGTTATTTCCTTGATACAAATTTTAAGTCTATATATAATTTCTACACATTATTAACATGTTATATGATATATAATATTAACTCTTTAGTTCTGCTATTTAACTTCCTACTTCTGAATTACACTTATTTTACTACCAATTTACACTTTATTTTCTTAATAAACTTAATTACTGCTTATGTTTTACTATTGAAATTCCTTCTGTTATTATAATATACAAGCTTTCATGTAGTCCATTTTATTATTCCTAACTATTGTAATCTTTGTGTAACCTTCCTGTATATGGGAGGTTGCATTTTTTATTAAAATTTTAATATATATTGCATTTTAATCTAACATTATCAAAAATTAAAATGCAATAAAAATTTCTCAGAGCCCCATTTTCCTAACAAACCTCACATATGTGTGTTACTTCAATTATTATTTTTAAATATTTTATGTCTTTCTACAAGGCCCTCCTCCTCCATTCGGTTCATTAATTATCTGACTCCCGCTGTTCGGTCCTTTAATTAACCATTCTTTCTCGGTAACTATTTTATCTGAATTATTTTTTCTAAAGTTTATCTTTCTTATGTAACCTTTTTTTTCGTGTTGTAATTTATTCAAATATTCTTCTTTCTTTTAATAAAATAAAGAAAACTAAAATCAGGTAAGAATTTTTCGTTACATTTTATAATTACTTTATCATAACATTTTATTAATATCTATGTTATGTATATTCATTGGTAAAAAAACAGCAATTCGATGTTTAAAGAAAATGAGTTTTGTATTTAGTCAATATTCCAAAGAAGTGTAAATTGATGGTCGAAAGAGATAAAGTTTTCGAAAAGAGTTTCTTGAAACAATAGCCAGGTAACGAATGTATTTTGATTTTCTTGTTCTTCCAACAGTCTTGCTAACCGAACTGCTGTACTTACAATATTTTATATATAGCTATCAAATTATTACGGGTTGTTCTTTAAATGCTTAAAGTTATAAGTGAACAGAAAAGAGAAGATTAATTTTGCAGGTGGTGTAGAAGTATAAGGGATCAATTACTGATCTTTTGGTTTTTAAACGAATAGATGAGGCTTTTTGTGAAACTTAAAAAATTCAGCGAAAAATCCTGTTTTTTTTTTAATTTAATGGTAGATCTGCCCGATGATTTTAGTTCCCAGGTCTAGTCTAGGTTTGTTTGCAATATAATACTTGCGCATCTTCTGGAATACCATCTTCTTTAAGTTACTAGAAACAGAAGCGAGTTTCTTTCTGTAATAGTTACAAACGTAAATATTTGGGAAAGACTGAAGCTTTAATAGTCAATAAATACCATTGTTATTCGATGGGAGGAATAAATGTATAGTTTCGTTCAAGAATGTAACTGCATTGAATCTTTTTGATTGTGGATGAATTGCAGATTATATATTCGCAGGTGGGTCAATCAAATCAATCACCGGAGAAGTCGTTTGGATTTTGTTCAAACAGTATAACGTGTTGCCACTTTTTCATCATACTGGCAGGCGATGCATATGAAATCCATCGCTTTCATTGTAGAGTGCAAACATAATTTATTTATCAAATTATGAACAATGTTCTGCTTAAAGATTACATTGAACAGTAACTCGACCGACGTCAACCAAGACTCTGCATTTATAATGGACATGTTATATGCATCAAAGGTTCTCTTCACAGCACAAGATGTGAAACGAAGAATGGAAGGTTGCTCTAACTTTTATCATTTTTTTCGTCAATTTTGCCTTACCCTTTGTATAATCTTTCTAACCTGAATTATAAATTATTTTCTTAATAATACCAGAGTAAATTCTCTTTCAGATTATCACGAATTGCGTCATCATCTGTTGTTTTAGATTTATTTTGGAAAGGTCCCGGCTGAAATTTTAATTATGTGATTTTGTTTAATAACTTTTGAAGAATCTTCATGACATTTTGTATCGTTTCAAAGATTTTTTTTTACACATTTTTCTTATGTTTATTTTGACGGGTGGTGCCTTAAGTTAAAACCTCTTTTGTCTCATTTTTGGATGACGAAGGTGAAAGTTCATCAATTGCTCTAAAGATATTTTCCGCCTAACCTTATTACTAATATCTTTTTCTGTCCTTCTCATCCAAGAATCCAACTTCCTTTCCTCTAAATATTTGATGTTAATGGAACTAGGTATACCAAAATCTCCTCAAAAGAATAACTTGAGATTTCTGTCTGATCTCCTTAATGCTATTGCTGCTACAGACCATAGCAGTACTAACTCTGATTTATCATAACATTGATATTCTGGATAGAATTAAAGCAGTCGTAAATTATGCATATCGAGATATTATAAGACCGCTGAAATTTATGTAGGCCACCTTCCGTGATGCTTGTGATGTCCCCAGAATCTGTACGAGATAATACATTAGTCTGCAAGTCCTGAAGCTTTGCACAATTATAACCGAAAAAAATAAATATTTATTCATACAATACATATCTTAATTGCGTAATATCTCGGCCAGGCTTTAATAATTTCTTCATCACCGCATCTTTCAAACTACGAAACTTCGGTTTCTTTTAAACGAGTTCATAACAAAACAGCTTACAACAGCTTGTGGTGGTCATAGTAAAAAAAAGGCATCAAAGCGTTACTGCGCTTTTTTTTAAATTTCTGATAGAGATCATAAGATCGACCGAATAACGTAATATTAATTTATCTTTTTTAATAAATAACCTGAGAATCGGAGAATCACTGAATTTTTACTATGCTTATTAATTATTTTTGAGTATAACAATCATTCGTCATATAAAGCAACCAATCAAGAGTTTATTGAGACTTTATACTCTTTGTATTCGAAAGGTATTAATATACCCTATACCCTTGAGCTTTCACAGAAAAACCTTCAAAATATTTTTACTAAAAAAGACAAAACAAAAACCTTACAAAATGTATAGCGCTTACGGAAGAAACATCGCAAAAAAATACGCGCCAAGATACGCACAACAAAATAGATTATTTCATAACATGAATGGTAACGGTAACGGTAAGTAACGTATTATTAAGAATAAAATTTATTAGCGTACTAAATACATATAATTAACCCAATAAAGGCACTGAAAATCCAGAAATTCTTAAAGGAGTAAAAGGAAATATTAGTTTGATATTTACAACTCTTGGTTTAGTTGGAGGGGGTGGGGTTGGATTGATTCACATTATTAGAGGTGAAATTAAAGAAGCGCTTAAACCTCTCGAAACAAAGATTGACATGATGGACAAAGTAAGCAATTACAAAGTTACATATTGATCTTTCCCTAATATAAATACGAAATTACTAAGTTTAAACTTATCTTTAATCTAGAGATTGGAAAGATTAGAAAATCATTTCTATAAATTTTCCGAAGATATGGGACATATAAAAGCACTCTTAACGAAATAATGTGTCGGATATGATCTCGATTTCAACCCTGGATGGTTTAATATTCTTCTCTTAATTTGCTATTACTTACCATTCAGCCAAATAGTTAGGTAAAAATAATTATTTTAAATTCTTAATAATGATGAATGATTAAGCAAAATAAGTTTTTTTAAAAATTTTATTTCATTGTATAATTATCTTTAGGTAAAATTTCAAATTTTTAATTAGTTGGAAATTTAATTATAATTGAAGCTATATATAGTATTGCACATTTTTTATGAAGCAAAATAAAACAACGGAAAAATTATTTTGCAAATTTTTAATAAGAATTTTAATATTTTTTTTTATTTCGTTTCGATATGGGTCATACCACAAAATTTCGCTCCACATGACTTTTAATAACTAAATATTGATTTGTTCAATTAAATTGAGTATTTTGCATGTCATGTTAACAAAAAAAAAACTTTATCGCCGAACTATTCAAGTCAATTATAGATCTTTCCATTTGGCTAATTCCATTTTATATAAAAGTAAAATTTTTTTACTAAACATTTATATTTAGATTGAGATTAGCTTAAAAAATTTTGCTATGGGAGTTTTAAATTTTTTTTGGTAAAATTTATAGGTATTAAATCAATGTAATTTCATTATACTTAAGTTATATAATAAATATGAACAAAAACTTCTGATGAGTCGATAATTATAATTCATCGAACTCTTAAGGTCATTGGTTAATTAATTTTCATTATTATTTATAAGCCTACTCCAGCTACAAAAGAAGAGATTTTGATGATGAAAATATGCAATCATACTGAAAAAAATTTGCTATGATTCGCCTCTAAAGTTTTTGATTATTGTTATTGATAAGATTTAAAATTTATCTTGAGACATTATTTTATTTATTTGGAGTAGTCCCTCATCAACAGAGATCTCGCAGATTTAAAAGTTTTGAAGTATGATTAACTCTTATAATCTTACTGCGTCAGGTCAATCTATGTTTATATAACAGTATACGGTGGAATTATATAAACATTATTAAATTTCTTTGAAAGTTGAGGTATTAACTAACTAATATTTATCAATTATTTATTTGTACATAACTACGATTTAGATGATGCTTATAATTAATCAGGAAATAATTATAAACCTCCTCATATTGCCATTTGTTAAAGACAAGATAAATAAATTTAATGTATTCGTGAAATATTATTCCAGAACCTTTTATAAAAATAGATTGCATAACCCCTTTAAAGTTTAATTTTAATTTAACTTTTTAGTGTCCTATACCGCTCTGTTTATTGTAGAATTAAATATATGAAATTTTGTTGGAATATAATTTTATGGAATTTCATGATCAAACAAAAATTCAAATTTTTCTCAACAGACAATTTAGTCAATGAAAGTTTAATTATTTATTCAACTGGATAAGTTGTTTGCCACTATAGATAAATTAATTTCTTTTGATTTTGATTTAGGTATTTTAGTTATGTGCTAAATTTTCTCAACTTTTATAAATTTAAACCATATATATCAATTTACAATTTAAAATTTTTTTTATTTTAATGCGAAGAAAATATTACATTTGTAATTTGTTTGATTAGATTATTTATTAATTTAAATTTCATTTGTAATTTGTATAAATTTTATTTGGCAAAAATTCTCACCGATTCCATTGATCCTTTTTTTTAAGTACGCTAGTTAATTTATGGAAACTTATAACATATGGGAAAATATAATAAACCGAGGGCTGAACGGAAAACTTGGAAAATACAAGATTTTTTTTTAATATCCCAGGAAAAATTATTCAATAATTATTCACAGAAATGGTCCTAAAAATCAACATAGAAAAAACCTTAATAGAGTTTGAAACAAGATTTAAGGAATTAGAGCAAAGTAATGAAGAGTTACGTTCACAATTCAAATATTTTGAAGAAAAGATTAGAGAGCGAGAAGTAGAAACCAAAGAAAAGCAAAAAATTATTAATGAATTAGTAAGAAATCTTGAATTAATTGATTATTATAATACTATTGATAGTTTAAAAATTAAAGATATTAATATGAATGACCTCAGGAGGATTGCTAAAATATCGAAAGTTGACAAAACTCGATTGCAGTGATACTCGAATAACAAGCTTACCAACTTTGCCCAATTTCTTAACAACACTCTATTGCTGTGATACTCAACTTACCAACTTTACCAAATTCCTTAACGAAACTCAGTTGCGTTAGTGCAAAATAACCAGGTTACCAACCATACCCGATTCCTTATTTAAAATTAGAAGTATTTTCTTGTTAATTAAAGTTTCTAATATCTATATGATTTTGTATTAATTTATATGGTATTATTAAAATTTCAAGTCAAATATTTCTTTCGGTAATTTTATTCATAAATTCTACTGGAATATTCTTTGCGCCATTTAAATATATGATTTGTCTTTTAATTATTATCTGCTTTATTGAAGCAAATTATGTGATAAAATTAAGACAACTTATCCATTTGACATATATTAAAGCAAGTATCTTGGATTTAATTAAATTTTGGAGGAATCGTTCCTAAAAAATTCTTTGAGTCTATTTCTTTAAGTCTATAATTTTCTTGGACCATTCTCCAGTGTTGGATGCTTCAGATTTATATTATGGTGAATTTCTAATGAGAGTTTAACCAGCCATTCCATTATTCTCGCCTACTATCATACATTATATTTTCAGGTCGAAATATAGCATTAACTCATTTTTTTTTCTCAGCAGTAAAGCGCTTTCTATTGCAAGGTCCCATATAATTAACAAAAAAAATAAAGAAAATAAGCTTAAACCACATTATTGAAATATTAAATTGATAAATGTTGTAGGGGCAATAAATTTTGATTAATAAATGTTCGAAATAGAATAAATACATTGAAAGTATTGTTTACTCATTAATTGTAAATTCTTGGGCAAATAAATAATTATGGAATTGATGAATAAGGAATTAATGCTACTTATTATATGGGGTTCAAAATATATTTTTATATACATAAAATATATGACACTGGATTTCCATTATCATACTTATTTCTTGAAAATAATGGAAATACAAAGAAAAAATACGAACATAATTTTGTTTCTATATTTAAAATTCAGAGTTGCAGCCTAAATTTACTCAGATTTATGCAATACGTTTCACACGACAAAAATGAAAATTCAATTTTGTTAAAAGAGCCGTTATAGCAAGATTATCAACTAATAAATCTGTAAAATCTTTAGGTTTTAATCCTATTCAGAACTTTGAAATAGATTTCCTTTTAATAGTATTAAGCAAGCAGCAAATTTTGTCCAAAGACCTTTGAAAATATATGGAATGATATGAAGATTACCGATTAAAATGTAACAAATCTTTGGCGATTGGATTATATTTCCAATCGAAAATAAAATTTAAGTTTATGACCATTATTTGCATATAAATAAAAAAACTTAATTAATTTACATTATTGCAAAATAAAAATTTTTCGGCATTTATTTATAAAATTCGAGTCTTATTTGAGTTTCACTATAATCGGGTGAAGTCGAATTAGAGTCCTGTAAATATTGACGGGTTCGAGTTCGGATTTGCTTCAAACCCGGTTCGAAGTAATAAAAATGTCGATCAAAGTTTAGGTTTTACAATAAAAAATAAAATCATATTATGGATCGCATGTGGACTTTGCGGGAAAAATTAGGAATTTTTGTTTTTCAGCCATTAGGAATTCACGATGATAATCTCAACGCTTTGAATAAAGGATTAGATCGCAATGAGGTAAATATAAAAGGTTTTCGGATAATATGGGCGAAGAAGATTCTGGATAGTTGTCAGTAAATAAAATATCAATAAATGAAATTATTTCTTTCTTTAATTGAAAAATTATTTTTTTTATTTAATTTATTTATTTTCAAAACGCCGTTAGATTAAAATTTTTAGAACTAAATAATGAAGCGAAAATACTTTTTGAAGGCTTATACATAAATGCAGTACGGCTGTAAATAAACCTATTGATTATGTAACAACTTGTTTTGTTGGAAAATTTTTGTATGATTCATTTGATGAAAATTCGTTCTTAGTAATATAGAGAATAGTTAGTTTCAATGAACAATGAAAATTTTCGCTTTTGAATATTAACTTAGCCACATTCGTCGATAGTATTTTTTTTTTTTTGGTCAGAAATATTACAAGGATTTTCTAATTTCTAATTAGTATCGTTGTCCGCAATTTTTTTTTAAATTTTTTTATGACGTCATCAAACTTTCACCATGAAAAGTTAGAACATCACAAAGTAGCTGTGCCCCATTCAAATATATTATGTACATGTTGATTATTAAATGAGGCTTAATATAAATATTAACGCAATATTTTTGCTAAAATATTTAACTTTTCATGTTGTTTATACGATTTATGTGGCTTATGCACGTATAAATTTTATTGCTATGGCTTAGCAAAATAACAATTAAAGTCACAGTATTTACTAGCGTTTGAACCTTGTGTTAGCATCCAAACAAAATCGTTTTTTTATTTTTAGAAAAAGAAAAAAGTAAATTTAATAAATTCTAGATATTAATAGAGATATTTGAAACAAGAATGCTTCTTTTACAATAAAATTAAAAACACATCTTCAGCGTTTTTTCTATCACCAACTTCTGGTTAATGTCATAAGAACAAAAATATATTATTTCCGCTTGATAGAACTGAGCTTCCTTTACTATAAAAGCTGTCAGAAATCTTCTAAAAAAAAATAAATAAGGTCAACAAGATTCAAATTTGGCGGTGAATTTAATTCTTAATCATTCTATTATTTTATAATTTATAAAATATTCTAATTAAACAAAAATGTATAGCAAATTTTCACAAAATAACTTATTTATTATGAAACTATTGAATATCCTTCAAATGTAAACCTTGCTAAAATCTTAATTCTGATAGAAATATTTTCATCTAATAAATCTAGTAGAGGTTTATATATTGGATATTGGGTTGTTGTGATGTGAGTATTTTTGATATTATATAATTTTTTTTTTATATAATTTTATAATTGTATTTTTTTAATATTTAAACCAAATATATATTTTTTCTTATATAAAGTAAAAATCAAATCAAATCTTCATAATATATTTTAAGAGGCTGTTCTTAAGTCCTACTATACTCAATTGCAAATAATATGATTATTGATTTCTTTCCTATTTAACAATCAATATTTTATGCTATGTAAATTAGTAATATAATTTTTCTTATTTTACCAGTTAAGATAATATTAATTATTATCTTAATTCTAATAGCTTAACAAAAGAAATTTCAGTTTAAATTGAAATAGTAAGTTAGTTAATTATAAATATTATTAAAAAAATATATATAATATTATTATGATTATCAAATTTCCCTCTTTTTAACATACGCATAAGAAAAGTTATTTTTTTATTGCTGTTAATAATAAAAGAAGTGTTTAATTTATTAATTTTAAATTATTTTAATTATTTTTGCTATATTTTATAATTATTTTGAGCATTTTTACTATCTTTAAATAAAAATTAAAGAAAAAAATGTAACCAATTTGAGTTTTCATACAAATCTATACATACTTTTATTTTTTCTAAAGTAAATTTTTTTTTGTTTTATTTATTTATTTTTTTAATTTTATTAATCATTTTTTATTTCATTTTTTGTAGATTTTTTTCAAAGCTTTAGTTTGACACTTTAGTAAACAGTGAAGCCGTGATCTGTAACTGCGGCGATCATCTGATTTAGTTGACAAATATGACAGATTGGTCATATTTGATCGATGATCTATATTTATCATATTTATAATATTTGTTAACTTTATTAACTTTATTAAATTTGTTATATTTGAT